TTAAGGTTTAGAGTTTAGGGTTTTAAGGCTTAGGGTTTAGGGTTTAAGGTTTTTGGTTTAAGGTTTAGGGTTTAGCTTAGGATTTAAGGTTTAGGGCTTAAAGCTTAGGGTTTATAGGGCTCAGGGTCTAGAAGGGCTTCTGTACTATATGGGTGTCCACACAGGTGTTGTCTAAGTCAGAACAAAGGCTAAGCCCGACCCAAACCCACGCAGCAGCAAGCAACCAAAGTGTCTGCAGAGCAAAATTCGTGGAACCCCGATGCCAAACCTCCTTACAGTTTTAGTATAATGGACCCCAAAGCCCTATTCTAAAACCCTAAACCCTAAACCCTAAACCCCGGTATTAGGTGTGATTCCCTGAACCCAAAGCCCCAGACCCTCCACAGTTGAACTATCGGGTTCCCCATGTGGCTCAAGGGTACCCTTGCTTTCATGTTACTTGGCTTTAGGGTTTAGGGTTTAGGGTTTAGGGTTTAGGGTTTAGGGTTTAGGGTTTTAGTAGAAAGGACCCGCAAATTACAGCGGCAAAAGGGCACTATTAGTGACCTAGATAGACTCGGGGCAAGACAATTGCCATTATCGCTACAGGCCGTTGCTGATACAGGTAATACCGGCAAAGGCTTAACGATCACTGTTCTTGGCTCTGCGACTGCGAACCCTGAACCTTCACACCTTGAACCGTAAACCCCAAACCCCAAATCCTGCACCCTGAACCCTAAGCCCAAAACCAATCTGCATGACTGCCGCATTTAGGGTTCAGGTTCTTGTTAAAAGAAACCATAGCCTTTACTATAGATCCCAGTTATTTTGGCTTACTTCACTTCCTTAACAAGAGCCCGGTAAATCACTGGAGGCAGCTGTCGCCTGGAGGGAGGACAGGTCGGAAAGACGTCGTATGGAGTCCCTCCTTAGGGGCTTTACGGTACCCAAGTAGTGTATATATATATATATATATATATAGGGTTTAGGGTTTAGGGTTTAGGGTTTAGGGTTTAGGGTTTTAGGGTTTAGGGTTTAGGGTTTAAAGTAGTCCCTATTCCCTACATAGGTACTTGGGGGCCAAAGTACACTCGTACTATGTAGCTACATGGACCCTTAGGGATATAGTTGAAGTTGAGATGCTTTTTGGGGCTTGTTGAGGGTTATATCCGTTTCGGCCTTGGGGCTCTTTACTAGGATCCGCTGAGGGCTCCAGAGTTACGAGCTTTGTTTTCTTGTGGGAGTTTTGCTGTTAGTAGTTCTGTTTCTGGAGTTCTCTAGAGGCTTTTCAGGAGTTCTCTAGAGGCTTCTAAGGGGCTTGTTGTTAGAAGAGTGACGCACCCTCCAGGGGGCAGACAGCGGGACCGAAAACTATAGAACTACGCATCAGAGGAGTTGACTATGTAGCTCCTCGCGTCTACTGCCTAGTACACCTACCAGTTGCGGAGGCAGCTCAATATTGGAGTCACCGGGTAGGCCCTGAACTAGATCCTAAACCACTTGCACGAAATGCCCTGAATACCAGGCAGGCAGAAAAAAAAACTAGAAAATTGAGCCTATTAAGACGGAAAGCACCGTTTAGGCCCTCATTCCTAACGCTCCCGCTTGCTAACCTCTAACCTCTTGCTTTACACACTAAAGCTGTCCTAAACCTTAGAAGCTCCTTGAACCCTAAACCCGAGAAATTGCAAGTAAGCCTTGTAGCAACCCGTAAACTAAAGCTCCCTAAGGGTCCATGTGCCCAAATGGTACAAACTTTGGCCTTAAAGCAATCCCTGTATAGGTACTTTGGGGCCAAAGTATATAATATTTGGGTAAACCCTAAACCCTAAACCCTAAAAGCCCTAAACCCTTAACCCGATATTTGGGTACATGGACCCTTGTAAGGGGCTTAGAGTACCCAGAGAGCCCAATACCCTTAATTAAGGAATATGCTGAAATTAAAAGGGGCTTCATCTTACGGTTTAAGCTCTATAGCTTTCATTAAGGGGTATTGGGCTCTCTGGGTAGGCAAGCGTCTTATAGTAGATCCTAAACCCCAAACCCTAAATTTGGGCACATGAACCGCTGTCAGGGACTTATAGTCATATATGGGCCTTAATAATTAGAATAGGGTTTGGGGGGCATATTATGCCATAATTATGCTAAGGAACCCCCAAAACCCTATTCTAATTATTAAGGCCCCTAAACCCAAAACCCTTATCGCAGCCTGTATAGAAACCTTTAAAGGAACCCTAGTCTAATTATTTGAGGTGGGTACAGTAGGCAAGTGTCCACAGCCGCTCCCGGGAAGCAAAAGACGCCTTTGGGGTCTTTTGGCCCGGCATCTGCAGTGCCAAACTTCGCTGGGCCATGGCCCAATCCCGAAGAGCAGAAACGGTTTAGGGTTTAGGGGT